AAACTAGACCCATATCTATCACCATGCACTAAACTAAGATCGAAGTGGATTAAAGATCTAAATATTAAAAGAAAAATACTAAACTTGCTGGAAGATAAGTTAGGTACAACTCTTGAAGACACTGGCACAGGAAAAGACTTTATGAACAAAACCTCAGTAGCATGAGAACTAGCACAAAGAATCAACAACTGGGATCTCATCTTATTACAAAGCTTCTGCACTGCAAGAGAAACCACCAAGAGAGCTAAGAGACAACCTACAATGTGGGAAAAAAATTTTAGCAGCTGAACCTCAGACAAAGGACTGCTATCTAGAATACATAAAGAACCGAAAAAAATCAGACCCCCCAAATTCAAAGACTCAATTCAAAAATGGGAATCTGAAATGAGCAGACTTTTCTCAGCCAAAGAAGTAAAAGCAGCAAATAAACATATGAGAAAATGTTTAACATCACTGGTTATTCGAGAGATGCAGATGAAAACAACACTGAGATTCCACCTCACCCCAGAAAGAATAGTTGCTATCAAGAAGTCAACCAATAAGAAATGCTGGCAGGGGTGTGGGGAGAAAGGAACCCTTCTCCATTGTTGGTGGGAGTGCAGACTGGTGCAACCACTATGGAAATCAGTATGGAGATACCTCAAAGAACTAGGGCTAGAGGTCCCAACAGCTATTCCCCTGCTGGGTATCTTCCCCAATGAATTAAAAGAATCATACCACAGTGATATATGTGCACCTTTGTTTATACCGGCACAGTTTGTAATAGCAAAAGCTTGCAAACAGCCCTAGTGCCCATCAACTGGAAATTGGATAAAGAAGATGTGGGTTTTTTTTTAATAAAATGGAGTACTACTCAGCCATAAAAAATGAGAAACTAGAGACATTTATAGCCAAATGGATGCATATTGAGGGCACACTCTCCAGTGAAATAAATAGGACACACGTGTGTAAATGCCAAGTAGTTAGTCTTAGTGTGAGAAACTGAAAGTGTAAAAAAGGATTAAATGATTAAAATGAATAACTGATAATTTGAAATAGGAAGAAAAGGTCCAAAGGGGTAGGGGTGGTGGGAGGGGAAGGGGAAAGGAAAGAAGGGAAAGGAAAAATTATGAGAAAAGGAAAAAATGGAATCAATGTCTATGTAAATAGGGAAGGGTGGAGGGGGTGAAGGGTGCACAGGGAATGGGGGAAAAAATAAGAACCAAGATACATCATGTACAGGTATAAGCACCCAATGATAAATGTAAACGTATTGTATACCTAAAATATACAAAGAAAAGAATTTAAGCAAAAAAACAAAAGAAGAACTAAAAAGTGGGTGAGTGCTGGACTGCACTTTGCAGAGTGGCAGTGCCTCCCTGGCTGCAGAGAACCTAGAATAACACCCCCCTCAGAGCACATTTTGCAAAGCAGAACCCTGCTGGAGCAAAGGCAGGGGGACTGCCTTCTTTTCCTTTTCAGAAGGCATAGATGATAAAGAATATGGTACTATTCAAGTGCACAGAACAAAGTAACAACCACCCACAACTTCACTAAGCATCTACTATGTCCTCGGGTCCGTGAATAAGAGCTTGGCAAGTACTATCTAACACACTTCTCTTGAGTATATTCCAAGGCAGAAATTTTCACCACCCCATTTTAAAGTTGATGATGTTTTCATATCTTGTCCAGAATTGCAGAAGCACTAAGCAGAGGAGGCAGGACCCAGGACTCCTGTAGCTCAGGGGTCACAGACAAGAAAAACTGAAGGTCAGAAAGCTAAATTCCCCTTGAGGCTCTGTCTCCTCATCCTTATCCATGACCTCATGTGGCTTTGAAGAAAAGCAAGGAGTGACAGGTCTTCCCAAGTTGGGTCCCCAGGGCAGTGCTGAGAGCTGGGTGGTGCTTGTCCCCCTGGGTTTGGGGATCAGAGGATGAGGCCTAGAATACAAAAGCCAATGGAGACCAGGAACTGCGAGAATCAAGGTTCCCAGGAGAGTCTTCATTTCTGCCTCCCACTATTTTATTGCCAGTCTCCTTCTGTGACTTTTCTATAAAACGTCCAAACGTGACATGAGGGTGGTGGAGCCTTGGAGAAACCAAACGGCCACGGAGCCACCTTCCAGCTCAGTTTTTCTTCTGTGTACTAGAGAAGGGTCTACAAGATCAACAGCCCAAACAGATGTTCAAGGCACTATGTTCTGAGCGCTCTTAGCAAATAACTCACTTCATTTTGCCAAGATAGAAATAGCCACAAGAATATACTTCATTTTGCCAGGAAAAAAATAGCTACAAGAATAATTCATGCATGTAATGTTCTCATCATCTATGCCCTATGTAGCTATGAATTAATTTTCAAAAAGACACAATGGGAGACTATAATGGCAATACCAAAATGGCAAGTCTCTTTTTCCAAGGAAAGAAAGGCTACCTCTTCACACAAAAGCTCTCACTAAAATCCCTCTGGACTCACACCAGATGCATAGGCACTAGGGATGGCAAGAACATTTGAAGGTGAACTAGTTAAATGCTCCACTCATTGCTCAAGTTCCTTCCACAGTGTTCCTGAGCATGGCTACCAAGGGACCATCAGTGCCCACACAGCAGCAAACCTGGGCCACTCGGCCGTCAGAGGGCTTTCTTACACTGCGCCCAGTCTGTCTGTCCGCCGGCAGGTTTAGCCTCTCCTCCGCAACAGTGCAGGATAACTCCCAGACAGGCTTCAGAAATGCAGCCCTCAGGCTGCTCTTCTGCAGAGCTGTCAGTCATTTTCACTTATAAGAACAATCTGACCACTGAGGCATAGCTGTTTTTTAAACCATTCTTGTTGATTTTTAAAGACAGATTTACTTGCATAACAATTATTCCACGGTGATTACTCCTCCAAATAACCCAGACCAAATCTTTTCAGTATTATCGGAAACACTGAAAGCTGATTATAATCAACTGGCTGTCACAGAAAGAAAGAATAAATCAAAAAACAGAAGCTTAGAGAACCCACTTGGCTGAAAGTATCGGCAGCAATCATTCCGTATTCGCAGCCAACAGATAAATCAGGAAGGAAGAGGTGCACACTTTACCGCTGCCCGTGCCCTACTAGGATCCAAATGGGCAGCTTTCAAGCCTCAGAACCAAAAACATCAGTTAGCTACAACCTTGCATTTTACCAGGAAAAGTCGAGGTCCGCAGACCCTGCCTCTTTCTCCTTGCTCCCTCGGACGCTCATGGTCCAGGCGCTCTGTGCGTGGTTACACACTGAGGTGCCAGCATACTCTCGTGCCCTCAGGTCTCCACGCAGGGACTTGCAAGGCAAGAAAATTCGAGGGATGTAAATTAGGTGGCGGCATATTGGTGGGGTAAGCCAGTGCCAGGCATTTCTAACCTCGTATAATGGGCTTAGAAGACAAAAGTCTGTTTCCTTTCTCTGAATCTTGTTTAAACTGTCTTCCAACCAGAAAACCTACTCATTCAGTTTGGCAAACACGTCCTTTGGACTCGGCTTATTCCCCCCAACACTTTCTCCCCTGTCGCTGCTCCCTCCTTTCTTCTCCCTCGGCAGCCCATGTAAATCGCAATCATTTTATTCGATGAATTGCCGTTATCCTTCCTGCCATCTTCTCCATCGGACAAGGAACTTTGTTATCATTCGGTTTTACTTCTTTAGTCTGGCTCAGATGGCACAAAACTAGGTTTGATGAATGAACAAATAAACATTTCCGCAGAGTCCTAAGGTTAATTGGAGTCTGTCACACACAAGAGAGACGGAATTCCAGGCTGAGGCGGCAGCGTGTGGAGACGCAGAGCTATGAAAGGGGGCGGGGTGCCTGTGGAAGTGTGTGGGTCCTGGGGGGATTCTGGGTCCACGGGTGGGACGGGGAGAAGTGGCTGAGGACAGGGCTTGGGGGTTAGGTTTGGGCCATATGTGGACAACCACATAAGCCAGGCTGCAGTACTCAGACACGAGCCTGTACAGGGTCAGGTTCATTTTCAAGGGGAGTCGAGCAGCCATGAAGAGCAAGTACTGTGAAGGCTCAGATGCAAGACAGGAGAGAGAGTCTGGAGCCCACTGCCTGGTCCTGCCTGGGTACCGGGAGCGTCTGTACCACTGGCCCTGTGTCCCAAGGGCTCTGCAAGGACTCTGAGGCAGGAAAGGACAAACTCAGATTTCACAGCTCTGGTGGAGCCAACGGGATCTGATGAGTAACACAAGGTGGGAGAGAGGGAGAAGCAAAATCCATGCTGACACCAGGGTTTCCAACCTGGAACCCCGCACAACACAGACAACGTGAGCAGAGAGGGGCCCATGAGAGAAGAGCAGCTCAAGGGAGGTGACAGGTCATTTGGGGAAGGTTCCTACGGCAGTCTCTCCCGATGATTCCTGCAGATCCAGAGCTACCATCTTACTGTTTCCTCCCACAGAGATGGGTGCAGTACAAGAAAATCAGTCATGCAAACATAGAGAGGGCAAGAGAAACATTTAATCCTCATAGAGACAGAGACCCTCCAATAACCTGAGGGAGAAAGAACCAACTTCTGATGAGAGATCTTCCGGTTCTTAAACTGCTGATCTCTCTCAACAAATTGCCAACTGTATATGAAATATTTTCCGGACAACTAAATTCCATAGCCTCTTAATTCTCTGTGCCCAACTAAAGTAATTTCATAGCTTTTAAAAAATTATCCTCACCACCAGCGGGCCGGCTAATGGCCTCACACCACCCAGCATGTCCCAGTCACCAGGGAGACTTCAGTTTACCTTAAGTGGCTCCACGAAGCTATTTTACTGATGAGCGACCTCATGTTTTACTCGTCTTTTCAAGATGCTATTGCTGAGGACAAAGCCCACAGACAGACAAGTGAACAAATCCCTTCCGTACCAACAGTGATCCACCTTCTCATCTAATAAGATTCCCTCTCTTCTCCAGTATGGTGAAAGGACTTCGGACTTTCCTGGCCCCAGCTACCATCCAAAGTGTACAGAGAAAAGAAAAGTGTAGAAAAAACTGACACTGTCAGCTCACCCTCTTCCTCAGGTTGTAGGTGAGAATCAGGTTCCGGGAGAAGGAGTGGGAGAAGGCGGTGTAGAATTCCAGCACTTTCTGCAGGGCGTCCCGTTTGATCACGTGCAGGTCACAGTAGGTCAAGGCCCTAACGTTGGCACAGGACTGGGCAAGGGTGGCTTCCTTCCAGAACACATCTCCAAACACATCACCTTTCCCTAAGGAGAGAGTCAGCGGGAGGAAAGGGTCAGGCCGGAGGGGTCTGGCCATGCGCGCCTCTTCCTTCTCTTCCCCAGAACCACTGTCCACTTGGGATTCTGTAGCTTGGGCTCAGAAAAGGAAAAAAGGATTTTACTTGGAACCTAAACAGCATGCAACTTTAAAACCTTTAAAATATTACATAATACACATCAAGGTTTAAGCAGTGGGTTTGGAATTCAGAAATGTCACCTCCTCAAAGGGTTACCCCAATTGCCCCACTGCAAAGGACCCTGGCCGTTATTCTTCATCACACTTCCATTTCCATGACACTAATCGTAGTCTGTAATTGCACTGTTTGTTCACTGGTATGTCGCATGTCTTCCAACATATGAGGTCATTACTCCACGTAGCATAGTACACATGGCATAGTCAGAACTCAATCAACATGTGCAGGCAGAAGGGGAATGAGGAAGGAAGGGGGGTGTCAGCCTGCATCAGTGTGACTTCCAGGTGAGCGGCTAGGCTGCTGCTAGGGAGGGTGTGCGCTCTTCAGCAGAGCGCTGGCAACAGGGCCAGCCTCCCCTGTCTGGGACGATCTACACGGGAGTCAGGCAAGTGCGGGCTTCAGCCCCTCCCACAGCTGTCTGCTGTCCTGAGGGTTTTATTTATACCGTGCTTCCCCCCACCCCCGTCCCACATCTTTTTCCAAAGTATGCATCTTACCCTTATCAAATGCCTCCCTAGTAGCATAAAATTATAAGCCCTATATGATGGCATCTCCATTCCACAAGTACATTTCACAAATCAATACAGCAAAGTTATGAACTGAATCCCCCCGTTCGTGTCCTGAAATCCTTACACATAATGTAACCGTATCAGGAGGCAGAGGCTATGGAAGGTAATAACTCACAAGGATGGAGCTCTCACGAACAGCATTAGTGCCCTTAGAAACGGGACCCGAAGAGCTCTCCTGTGCTCTTTCCTCTGTGTGAGAACACAGTAAGGAGGGGCAGCCTGCACAGCGGAAGGAGGCCCTCGGGAGAATCTGGCCACTGGCTCCCTAATCTTGAATTTTCAGCCTCCAGAGCTGTGAAAAAGAAGTCTCTGTTGTTTCCATGTGTTACAGTTCACATCTCGAAGTCCCCCGTCAGCCTCGCACTCAGAGGCAGGGCTTTCAGAAGGGGACTGACCGTGGGGCTCTACAGCTGCCTCCCCTTAGGAGGTGGAGCCTCTGGGGGCAGGACCTGGAAGGTTACATGTCCTTCCTGGCTCCCCCTTCTCTCTCCTTCCAGCTGCCATCTTTCTTCTAGCCAGGCCCTTCCACCATGCCATTACTATGTCTAAGCGTACCAAACATGGACTGAGATGTCTTAACACACAAGCTAAATAAACCTCTCCTCCTTTAAGTTTTGGGTGCCAGATACTGCACCCCAGTGATGAGAAAGTGACTAAGACCATGTGCCGCCTACAGCATTTTGTTGTAGTATCCCAAACTAAGATAAGTACTAACTCCGCACACCCATATTCTGGGACAGCTTATACAAATTGCCTCTAAAGGGTCGCTTTTCACACCTAGGGACATTCTTCCTACCTTTCTCAGTAACTGATCAATATTTTAATGTGTGTCTAAGGCAAAGCCTAATTTATTCCTGGCACAAGCTCTGGTTATAAATAACTTAAAATGTTTATCTTGCTGCTAAATCCTCAGCACAGATAAACACAAATCTGAATCCCAGGGAGCCAGAGAGGAATATACACAGGGAAGGAAAACTGCTACAAAGGGTGGAAATGAATATATTCTCAAGGACTTGCCTGTATGTCCAGGCCAACCAAGCTCCACAGCTGCAACCCGGGTACCGGTGGCTCGTGTGATTGACAGAACAGCTGTCCTCCTGGCTAAGGCTAAGGAGGAAATTACATTTTCAAGCATACAGATGTACTTGACTTTTCCCCAGCACCAAGAAATGTCTGCTAAGCATGTGAGACACGCCAGGGACACAACCTTCTCTATGTGCCTCTAAATGTGAGCAAAATCAAATGGACTGGGCACATTCCAGGGCTCAAATGTTGAGAGTTCTAATATAAAGATCGTTTTTATTGACTTGGTGTGAGAGGAACACATACTTGGAATAGCTTCTAGGTAAAATGTCTTGCAGACTATGCTATTTAGACTCCCTTACCAAGTTCCCTTTTCAAACATCTGAAATATGGGTTGGCTACGTCAGGGCTGGGGTCAGAGTGTGGAGCATTTTTCTCTCTGGGATGCTAACTGGCTGCTATGGAAACAGGCTCCTTCACTGGGTGCTCTTGCTCTGATTTCTAACCCACAGTGCTGGCCGTTCATCTGCATGTGTTAAGCACGGTAACCTCCCTTCATAGTTGTGCAGTCTTCCTCCTCTAGAAGGCGCTCTTCCTCTGAAATAGTCCACAGTTGAAAAACACACCATCCATTCCTTTCCCCACTGTGTGCTGCAGCTCACATCCATAGGTGAAGCTCGCTTCCCTTCCCTTCCCTTGAGTAAGGGCTGACCGCAGGGATCGATCAACAGAATCTGGCAAAAATGGTGTTCCGGGATTCGGAACCAAAGTAATAAGAAGTTGCAGCATCTGCCTTGTTCTCTCAAAGCACTCACCCTGGGAACCTTCCCTCGCAAATCCACTTAAATGTGAGAAGCGCGAGTCAAGCAAGGGGCTCCATGTGAGCCCTCGGCTCAGGCTCAGTGCGGCTGAGCCCTCAGCGCCGTCAGCCTCGGCTCAGCCGCGCCCATCAGCCACCTGCCGGTCCAGCCCAGCAAAGCCTTCCGCAGACCAGAGCCCCACCACCATCTGGCTGCAGCCATGTGTGGGAAGCCCAGGGAGAGCGAACGGGCAGAGCAATTCAACCCACAGAATGTAAGAGACAATAACACACCTTACACTGCTACACAGCAACAGAAAACTAAAATACGCAGAATCGTGAAGCTCTAGGCCTCGAAGCTCATGAGAAATTACCGGAGAGGTGACTAAATATTCCAGCAGAACAGCACAAGCCCGCTGGGCCCTGAGCTGGCACCTCACACCCTTCCCCTGTGATACTGACCCAAGAAAGTAAAGGCAGATGTCCTGCATATGCACCTGAGCATCAGTAAGAAATGTGGAATGTACAAAGCCAGCCATCTCCTATTAGGCTGAAATGTGAGATAATTAAACTAAACCCAGTGAGAGGAGAAACCTATTGGTGATTTTGCCCGAGTCTTAGTAAGATTGCCTCATCCAAAGAAGACCCAATATATACACACTATTTCTTAAATGCACTGGGAATAGTTTTTCTAGTTATAGAAGAAGCCGTAAAGCAAAATAATAGCTTTTCATTTGCACTTAACATATAAATTAGACGTAAAAGTTCAGTTTATAAATAGGGGCATATCTACTGCATAAAACAAAGAGCAACCACATTGTAGTTAGAACACACCATGGGATAAATGGGTGCTTTAGAAATGACAGCGTTCTCTGGTAAAAGAATATTTCCAATCAAAAGTTTCTGACAAACAATAAATGGAGAGCAGCTCCTACAACAAAAGTATTTCATGGTAAGATAATCACAATCCATAAGGTCGAGGAGCCTCGGCGTTGTCATAACTTGGATTTGATTTTCCACCCAAATTGAAAATCATATACTCTTACTTCCTGTCAAGGCAGCATTTCAGTTATGAATGATCTATTAGTGAGACTAAAGAATGTGGTGTCGGAGGACCTATCAGATGCAGAACAAACCCAAGACTATTCTGGCAAGGGAGAAATGCTTTTATATCACCCGTAACTTGGGAAAACTGTGAAAAGGAAGGATGTAGAGCATGTGGCAGGCTGTGCATAAGTTATACACACTGCTAGAAATACTGACTTTCCAGGTCAGAGCTGAGAACCAGAAGCTGGGACAAGCCCTACACCCACATCCCTCTCTTATGTGCTAGTGGGAAATGAACCAAAGGTACCCAATGCACTCAACAATCAAACTACCCGAAGCAATCAGCTTTACTGATTTATTTATTACTTCAAGGCACTGAGTGCAGAATGTTAAAGCCTAACGCTCCAAGTCTCTAAAGCACTAACATTCTAAGTGGGTGTTCTGAGCTAGGGCATGAAGAAAGGCAGTGTAATTAAAACTCTAGGCAAACCTCCCTGACTAATTAATCACCCCCTCCCATTACACGCAGCTGTCTTTCCTGAATCTTCACTCCTGCCTTGGTATAAACAATGGGCTACCCACAAGGGGGGCTGTGCAACACCAGCAAAACAAGCGGGAGACAGACCCAGGGCTGGGGGCACGGGGACAGGGCACAAGAGGAAAGCAAAGCCTGCAGCCCAGAGTTGAGGGTGGGGTCTGGGGTCTGCAGGGGACAGGCGGGCGTGTGGGAGCGAGGTTACAGGGTTACGTGGGTGAATTCAGATGGTGTCTGGACATGTTCTGAAAACATCACACAGCCTTCCAGAATGTTATCAAGCTGTGGGGAAGGATTCTGATCTGATCCTTACAACTGGGTCTGGAGCTCATCAGAGAAGGCCTTGCTTATTCAAAGATGCCCGGGTGAACTTGATAGCCAGGAGATCAGAGCACAAATGAATTTTCAGGATGCCTCCGCTCACTATTCCTCGTCGTGTGCTCCTTTAAGGACAACTCACAGTGGCGTTCTGTGCTAAGCAGAACAGAATTGCGAAGTAAAAGTCATTAGCTATTGCTAAGCATTTCCAGACTAAAACCAATCAGAGAAACCCAGTGACTCATTTATGTATCATTTGCCAGGCCGTGTTCGAGGGCTGAGGTCTGACACAGCGAGGCGCCAGAGGGACACAGGAGGCTGGACACATCAGGGCTACACCAGGGCATCCGACGCAGAAGGGAAGGCTTGGAAGACAGGATGTCTGCACTGAGAGCAGAGGCTGGAGTCCCGTTCACCAGATGAACCACTATGTGGGCCGGGCTCTGGGCAGAGGGCAGAGCGAGAGCAAAGGCCGAGACATGGGAACCTGGCTCTTCAGG